CTAATACCCCTGTGGTTCGCACACTCTGTGCGACTGCCCTTCTTGTATATTGCTACTATAATCGATTCGCTCCAATTAGCCGGCACACTCTCTTCGCTCCAGATACGTTCGAATAGGGAGGTCAGTGCCCTGCAGTGGACCTCACCTCCATCCTTAAATAGTGCAGGTGGGAGGGAATCCGGGCCAGCCGCACGAAAACGATTAAGGGCTGTGATCGCGTTTCGGACTTCGGCCTCCGACGGAGGCTCTAAACTAACCGTCCATGGCTCGTCCCGCATCACCTGAGTAGGAAGAGGTCCGGGAGCAGGGGGCCAGCTGAACTGATGTTCAAAGTGCTCAGCCCAACGAGCCATACGGCGCTCCTTATTGTGTATCAGCGCACCCGCGCTGTCCCTGATTGTCTCACTGACGCCTGGTTTTCTCGGACCAGTGGTGCGTATTAGCTGGAAGAGCTTCCGGTAATTGCCTACTGCTCCTGCCTCCTCCATTTCTTGAGCCCGACTGGTCCACCAGGCTTCCTTGTCAGCACGTAGGCTCCGCTTTAGTTCACACCTAATAGCCCGTCTGGTCACATTGTGTTCAGAACCAGCCGGGAGGTGCCTTCTAGCTTCCAACAGGTTCACCGACCTCTCGGATATCCAGTGACTGGTGCGATGACGACTGATAGTGCCACAAGCAGATGCTCCTGCGTCGTGCATAGTGGCCGAGATCTTATTCCACTGAAGTTCAGTATCATTAGGACAAGACAGCGAGAGTTCGCTATGCAGTGCTTCTTGATAGGCTTGCCTGACAGAGGGCTGGGACAATTTCTCCGTTGCCAATCGGGGGAGACGCTTTGTGCGCCTTCCGGTAAAGTTCATGGAGAAACGACAGCGCACCAAGGAATGGTCAGAGTCCACACAGGTACTCCAGTACGAGCGGCAATCCAGAATGGAACCGCGCCACCTGTAACTTATGGCTATGTGGTCAATTTGGGTCCATCGCTGACCAGCTACAGGTGGACGCCAAGTGGCACTTCGGCGCCCACTGTGTCTAAAAGCAGTGCTAGTAAGAAACAACTGGTGCTCCGCACACAGTTGCAGCAGACGCTCGCCGTTGTCAGTCCGTTCAGAGTTAAGTCCATACTTACCACCCAGCTGAGCTTCTGAAGAGCTCAGACGCCCTACTTGTGCGAAACAGTTGGCCTCAGCCGGTTGTTGTCGACTATCTGGTTGGGGTCCGAGAGATGTGGATACTTGATGGTTGAAGACTTTGGAAGCCATAGCTCAAGGTCGATGTCAATGGCGGACGTGTGCATCAGTGTATTGCGGTATCCCTTCTTCCTTCCCTAAAAAGAAGAAACCGAAAAAATTACAAAAACTGTGAGTGGCAAACTAGACAAAAAAGCTTTTGCTGTTGTCACCCTTTGGTTAGTATTCATACTGTTTTCCTATTAAGCCATGATTCCGATGGCACAATATCTGTACCACATATTATATATGTATATTTATGCATATGGTTGGCGGCATCCGGTTTCGGATTTGCCTGTCACTGTGACCAGCCACAGGACGCCTGCGCTTACAGAGGGACCATGGATGGCTTGCGCTGCACCACCCACAGCTCCAACAACACATCCTCCTCAATCCATACACGTTGCACCAAGTGGTGCAACACAGTCACCAACGCTAGTCCGCCGTATTTCAATACTTCAGACTGAATTCCGTCGGTACCGCCACACTTACCGTTTCGCAGCTGAGCAATTGCTGTCAGCGTCTCATCCAGTGTCGGCGCATCTGCCGGACTCGCCTTCATATCGTGCTGCTTTAGGCAATTCAAAGTAGGCCAGTCGATCACTGAACGGTTGTTCAAAAGACAGTCAAAGTGATTTTGCCAGATCTGCATGATGTCTGCAGTCTGTGTACAGGTAGCGCCTGAACTACCATCGACCAGCGTCCTCAGCGGCTCCAATCTCGGTCCATACACCACATTCAAGGAGTCAAAGAATTCTTTGTGTTGACGGCGTTCGGCGTAGCATTCCATCTGCTTCGTCTTCAACGTCCACCATGCATTTTTAATGCGACGGAGTTCTCAAATTATTCTCGATCGAATTCTGCGAAACTGACTCTTCTTCTCTAAGTCGCTGGGTCTGTCACATGTGCAGCAAACGCTGCCTTCTTCTCAGACACCAATGCGCCGATCGTCGCATTGTTCTCATCAAACCAATTAGGCCACTTACAGTTTGCGCGCCCTATGATCTCCTCGGCAGCAGCTGTCACCTGGTCGCGAATGTGGTGCCACAGGTCGCTCACTGTGGCTATGCATTCCACATCACACAGGCGTGCAGTCATCGCCTTCTCCAGCCCAATAGGTTTCGCCAGAGTACGGAGGGAGAGAATGATAAATTTACGCCGATTCAAGGGCGCGAGTGTAATACATGGATTTACGAAAATATATGTACATTTTGGCAAGCACACTCAGCAGTGTCACACGCACCAGTACACGTGTCATGCGAAGTTCACGCATATTACACTGACCTACCATGACATAATCGAACAGGTGAGCGTGACCACTCCGTGGGTGCGTCCAAATTGCTATATAACACGCACTCAGTGCAAACCGAGTGTTCGTGATCGTCATGCCGTGAGTGGCACACAGTGAGAGCAGCCTGTCACCGTCCGCATTCGCTGAACCAATGCCATGCGAACCGATAACATCTGTCCACACCGATGCATCACGCCGAATGCGCGCGTTGAAATCACCCAACTGAAATAGTTGGTCGCTCCTCGGCACAGACCGTATCACGGAGGATAGCTGAATGTAGAATTGATCACGCGTGTCATCAGGATAACACATGGTCGGACCGTACGTGCTTATAAAGGTAGCAAACTTACCACTTCCGAGTCGTAGGCGAACAGTCATCAGTCGCGCGCTGGTGCCTGCTGGTTCACCCACTAGCTGGCCATTTAGGCGATTGGATATTGCAAATCCGACTTCATGATCACGTGGTACTGAGGTGGCGTTGCCCACCCAGTAAGAACGTTTGTGAGCTTCATGCAACTTACCTTGCTCAACGAGCCGGGTTTCACCGAGCGCCGCAATATCGATGTTGTGGCGCGCAAGTACTATCGCGACGACTGAAGTGCGTCGCTCGGGGTGCTCATTTGAGTTCCGGTCCAGTAGTGTGCGCACGTTCCAGCATCCGATTCTGAGTGCTTTGCGCGCAGGCATACGATTGCACTGGTGGGCAATGGCACGCGAGGTGGCGGATGTGCTTCGGAGCTTCGCTGGAGGGACTCCACCTGGAGCCTTTGGCTCAAAAGCCTGACCCACAAGGCAGTAAGTTGTTTGGAGGTTCGCTTGAGGGTCTCCGCGCGGAGCCTTTGACTCAGTAGTCTGACCCACAAGGCAGTGGGGACCAGATCCAACTCGGGAATGTGATCGCAGAGACAGATTGGGATTTGTTTGACGGCCGTCACACGCAGCTTTTGAGCTACTGGAACGTTTCATATACGTTTTGCTACCGTACTAGGATACGCACCTGCGACCACGGCCAGACGCAAGTGGGCTTTGGCGGGTTTGTAGCAATTTGAACAGGGGCTGCCTGGTTTGTGGCGGGCAGTAGCACACCGTTGAGCACCCGGAGGTGCCCTCCCACCGCCAGAGGCAATGCGTGGCGCTCGAGCTTGTAACCCGTAAACCTGCTGTCTCCGATGGCTAGGTTTTACGGGAAGAGGGCCATCAACCATCACCTAATCTCCGAAGAAAATGGACTGGGATACTGGCAGGGCGCCAATACGTCAGAAGAACGACTCGGGTCCTCAGCCAAAGCCTTCGGTTAAATATACACCCGAAAGGCAGCGGGTTCAGAACATGGTCAGTTCACTGACTAATGCGAATTGGTGTCCTGGATTTTAGCAGGGAAAAGGGAGTACCCCAGTTCCAAAACATATATATATATATATATATATACGTACCTGAATTGTTAGTAGAACGCACCCCTCCTGTCACAATAATGTTTAATCAAATGCTCTCATGGATTATTCGAAGCAGACTATGAATACACGCTAAGCTGCGCTTAGAGAAACAGACCAATTTTTAAGAAAATCGGTCTGTGGCCACTGTGTCCCGACTTGTGGCAAACTGTATAGGTAACAACGGATATGCCTAGTCAGGAAGAGTACATGCGTGAGAATCGCCTATCGTTGGTGTTTCAGTTGATCAGATGAAGCCAGGTAGGAAACTTCGGTGCGTCATGGCTTCAAGTGCGTAGACTATGGAAATGAACCATACTAATGACGTGATGACATTTGGGGACCGTTAAACAAAACTACAAGTAACTTAAAACGCCGAGAGCGTATATCACCACCTCTTGATGAAAGGAACCACTACCAAGGTTGTTGTGAAGTAAAGATCTTTCTCGACTTCGCAATCTGCGCGGAGAATTCCAGAATCATTGCAGACACCTAGATAAACGAGTAACTAGGCCAGTCAATTCCATCATTCTGTGTTGAGGAGCAATGTGGAGGTTTTAAAATTTGGTAGTTGAAAAAGCATCAGTGTCTAAAATGAGTGGAAGCCCTAAGAAGTCAAAAATGGTGGGCTGATAACGATTGAGTAGTGAGGTGAATAGATCAGTTTGGTTTAAATCGATCAGACCACCGATGGGGAGCACGCATACGACACGTTCCAGTGCTATAGTGCGATGGTGACGGAACGAAAACAATTAGAAGCAGAGAAGACTGATGGAAATGGATTGTTGCTGAATGTTTTTAACAATCATTTGTGTGTCCATATAGGGTGAACGATGTTGCACACTTTATTGAGGCAAGAGCGGTGTATCAGAAGTAAACTATCAAAGCCAAAGATGTAGTAAGTATGAAGATTACCAGTGTAATAAACGATGACCAAATGTACACAAAAGAAGATTCAGAAAGACCAGTGCACTCGGAGTAAGAGGAAAAACAATCAAAAATTGAAGCGTCGTACAGTGATGCGGTTGAGTACAAGATAATTAGACTAACCTGCACCTTCGAAATGACCTATTAGCATACAGATAAAACCCATAGCCACGCTCGGTAAAAACGATGGAATCAACTTGAGGGCCAGGTTCAGCTCACTGTAGTGTTGGTCCAGCAGAAGGAATGGCAGGAAGATAATGATCAGTATAGCACACGATATGGCAGTGCCCGTGTGAGCTAACGAAGAAAGTGAGGGTAAAAGGTAGGAATATACATTACTATTATCATTACTAACACTATTAATAAAAATGGCGTGAACTATAAGGAACATTCGAGAGTATCGTGGACTGCCAAAACGGGCTTAATCAAGCAGACACAAAAACGTTTTTACATGTAATGACGTGACAAAAAACAAGCACGTTCGAAATGTAGCAACAAGTAAACCAGATGTAAAGTACAAACTAAATAAATATGTGAGGTTAGTAAATCAAGGAATGCTCAAAAACCGCTTAGTGAGAGAAATGGATTATTTCTCGAGTACAAGTTTAATGTATCTAGTTTCCATAGCAATGAAAATTGCGGAAAATAAAGACAAACAGATATCTCGATAAAGAGCCAAAAATGAGTGGGGGGATTAGCAGTAGCAAGAAAAAAGGTACATCAACAAACAATTGACCGAATGTAACAGACTCTGACTTCGTAACTTCCTTAGGTTGGAATTACTCGCCACTCACCGACGTGTACAATCCAGAGCCATCCGTCACAGAAGACACTAAATCATCAACTCGTCTGCGTGTGTGGCATCAATCAGTCAGGTGCAGCGTCTGCAAGTGGCATATATCCCAGGGTAGATAATCGGAAGTAACGGAAGGGACACACTCAATCAATATGTGCCGAGAATTTACGACACAACGTTCGGCACCCGCGCCAGTGCAGTGTTTGCAGTGGTCTCCTAGTCGAACTGACTGTGCACAGTGATAAGTCCTTCGTAGAAGCACAATAAATGCGGTTGAAAAGTAGTCTTTTTACCCACACAGCTATTCTGATGATAATTCCCAGGTGAAAGTCATGCGGTAGCTTATTATTTTACGGAGTGTCTAACAGATGAGCAAGTGAACGATACTCACCATACCAGCTGTCAAATCCGACCGCATCGATTTAAACGAAAGCATTGACAGATGATCGATTAGCACTAAAGCTGTAACAACGAGAAGGGTTATATGGTCCGACCATTGCGTTTAGTAGGAAATTGACGTCTTAGAGATGCGGAACGTCTGCTGCTCAGCAGCAGTCACAAAAGGAAACAGAACTCCATGTAGAGTGACTATTGGGCGGAAAGCTACTGGTCCAATATGGCAATATTTGTACTGACTTGGACAACCCGCAACAACAGTAAAAGACTGGGTTCTGCAGATTCAGATGGCGCCAATGATGCGGAAGTAGGAAAAAAGGCTAAGTAAAATTGTAAATTGCACCGTTCCGTTATAGAAACCGGCCGTTTGTGAGTTGTCATAGGAGCTGTGAGTAGTAACGTGGACCCTGGAATTACGCCAGTGGTGAGTGTGAAAAGAAGGACATAGAGGAAAGTATCACCCTATACATGGACGGCCGAACAGACCCGTCTGCGATGACAGAACAATCGCTTTAACTAATGGACTCCTTTGCATGCAGCACTGTAAGGATCTAGCAACTGTTGAGGACAACCAGTCACTGGACTACGCGGCACAGCTAGGGTACGTAAGCATATTTGACTATAACTGTCGCAATAACCAAGCTGCCTCACTGAAAAACCTCCTCGTGATACCGGTCTGGCGGCCCAGTATTTCCTGTTCTAGCAAATGGTGAAGCGTGTTGCAGATTGTTAGGTGGTTATACCTGGAAAGCATTCTTCCTATAAGATGTCACATTTGTTTGTTTAACAACACTGATGTGGCGGATGGGACTCGCCAAAAACCAAAGTCATTGCCCTATTCTCCACCCTAGTAGTCCGATACTGATATTGTGGAGAGGATTGACCTCTACGGTAATCCTTCAAACCAAAAGCATTTGAACTGAGCAATCGGTCACCGTCGTCCAATAGGCGCAATTCCCTGAATCTGCCCAGCTGCTCTGCGAATAGGCTAGTTAGCCAAAGGTTGAGGGCGGTATCATATAAGTCAACTATCTATGTCGACCCGGCCAGCCGGGTAGTATTGCGCAATCTGAGAAAAATCATGGAAACACTCTGTAATCATCTGCAGCTGTTTCTCCTTCTTGCACACATGTGTCTTCATCACGCACCAACTGCTCATTTGTTAACAAGCCCTGTCAGCCGGTACCTGATTCCTGTTTCCCTGCATCAACCTCGTAGATGCCAGTTTCACTGAGAACCATGAACTTCAAAATGGATCCTCGTTCGGTCTGCCGTCCTTCAAGGTACGGCCAATCATGTAGAATGGGCAACAGGCCGGTCACACGAGCAGTCCAGAGTCACTCGATACTCGTGTCTGCTGTCTTTCAAAAATACGAGTGCAAATAGTACCGTTCTATCGTTTGCCAGTTGCCACAGGAATTGTTAGTAGAAAGGTGGGTCCTGTGCTTAAGCTGACATTCCCCACTGGCCACGCAGTCACATAGTACCTGCGACCTTCTGGTGATGCAGAAGCAAATGCAGTGGGTTAGATTGGTGCATGCGTGGCACAAAGTGACAAGGCCGAGGCCGGAGAGCCGGCCTGGTTTCCGATTAACAGCTGACAAAGTGCAGTTCGACTTCGGGTTTCATGTTGAATCAATAGACATCGCGAAGAGAGACGCAAACTGTTTGTGATCTCCGCGTGCGCCCCAGCTGACTGTAGTACTGGCTGGGTCAAAGAGGACTTTTATCCGGATACTCATCAGCTCTTGACCAACGCTAACTAATCGGATGTCGTTGTTGGTGCGGAGGATTTCAATGCACAGGTCGGCCTTGGCGGTCACCAGGAGCCAGATGAGGACCGCTGAGATAACGGAGATAGATCTCGCACAATGTGCGAACATAACCATCTGCTTTTCCCGAGCACCGAGTTCTGCGATTTGGTGTCCCCTTTCGCCAAGCAAGCGTGGTCTCAAATTGAACATTGCAATCAGCTTCAGATGGTGTAGCAGCGTATGAGACTGCAGGTCAGTTTGGTCCATCTTCACTGACGCAAAGATTGCGCTGGACTGTGCAAAAATCTGCATGTCACAGGGTTCTCAAAAAATGAAACGCTGCAGGATTTATGTGAACAGATTAGCTGGTTTTTCGAGTCATATAAGCTATTAATCTTGACTAGCGGACGCACTCACTTGGAGTCCACCACGGGACATTAAGTAGCACTGGATTTCTATACAGAACTGCGGTTTCATTCGACAGCCCTTAAAGGCTTCGATCTCTACTCGCTCACAGGAGCTATTCGACCGTAGGAGGGATATCCAGATAAAAGCGGATTACAATGAGTGGTGTCGTCTGTCAGTCGGCAGCTCAAGCAAAGTATGTGCAATTATCGCGGGGCTCGGTAGTCTGAAAGCGTCTCGGAGATGGAGAGTGCTGCCCGTTCTCGCGATACACGTAAGCTTTGTCAATTCATTCGATTACAAGAAGCTCTGTGTCAGTGAGGTCATTTACGAGACTGATGGGTCTCTGGTCACCAAACCAGCAGAGGCGCATGGACCACTGGACTGTGCACTTCTTAGCAGTGTAACTGTCCCTACCGTCCATCCAAAGGCGCGGTACAGTTAGTTGTCTGTCCTGGCTCGTCGCACTAGATTCGCGCAACGATGAGAAAGTCTCCTTTGAGATCCGACGATCGAAGCCATTTAACGCTACCGACTCAAACGGAGACCGATGGAGCTGTTCAACTAAGGTGGTGAAACAATCACTAACCAGCTGATCACGTGGTCTTTTAAAATCTGGTATGAAGAAACGTTGCAATACTTACCAGCGTGGGAGCAATGTTGAGGGCGATGAAGAACAAACAAAGCTGGACCGACGATATGAAAGTGTTCACCAGCACCTAGTAAGCAATGCTGTGCTCTGTCAACGAGTGCTTCGAAACAAATTCGCCGATTACCTAGAGGGAAGAACTAAAATATAGCATAAACCACCCTAGTTGTGTTACATACTTTGATGCTCTATGGAGTGCCTATACAGACTCATGTTGGTTGCTAAGAGTGAATCTAGCAGGTAGAACCTAAAATGGAAGGGCTATTAACACCGCAAGTCTTCACTCGGACAAGGTCCCCGCGATCGGGATGAAGGTTTGCTTTAGAGCAAAGCTAAGCAACTCTAATAAGCGCAGCTAAAGAGGTCCAATAGCAGATATATCGCTTTGCGTACCAGTGCTGAAACGGGATGACATTTGTTGATCTTCATCAAGGTAGATAGTACATACTTGAATGACTTAATGCAAACTGCCTAGTGCATTTCGGCAAAATGCTTATCTATCCAAACCAAGTGACTGACTTCAAGAAAATGTTGATGGGAACGATGTGGTGAACGGCTCTAATCCCAGGGTCGCATGCAAAAGGTGATTCAACCACGAAATGATAAAAAGTTCAGGCGCTTTCCTGCGAGGGTTTAAGATGCCCGTTTTCTCGACGCTTCGTGATCTAGATACGGACAGCTAATTAACTTCGGTGTGCCAAATGTTAATAAAGCTAGTGTGTGAAATAGAATGCTGCTTTGACAGCCTTTGAACACCGTTATGTTAACATGGTACTGTTACAAGGGGGTTTAACTTCATGTGCGATAAGTAGCAATAGACTCAATGAATCACAAGCCTCCCTCATAATCTGAGGGCGCGGATTCGAGCCTGCGCAGGTGACCGGGCGATTCTCGTAGTATTCTAAGCTCACGCACAATTGTTGGTAGTTCCGCGCCAGCGAAGCATCGGTACTTCGTATCAACACACTGCTGATACCTTATTTTCGAGACTGCTGCTAGGTGCCGGGACAAGCGTGTTTCGTATCCCAGTGCAATCTGACACATCCCAAACGTACCGTAGGTGTAGCGTGAGACACTAGTATATAATGACACCCATTAGTCATCCACAGACTCAGTGACGGATGAAGTCAGGAGTAAACATTGCCAGATGAGAGGGTAGAAAGCTTTCAAGTACCAAAGGTGACTAGTACCTGTTAGAGCAAGGGGCCGCAGATAGTTGAAGTCATTATGGGGTTTCGTACGGATAACTGCTGAATACAAATAAGATCCAGTTCAGTTGAACAATCATGATCCGAGCATCGAGGTGCGGTGGATTCAGTCGCCACGACTCATGTCGCCAGATGGAAAATAAATAGCAAAGGTAAGAAAGTGAGGTTGAACGCAAATAGGACACAAAGAAAATTGAATCAAGAGAGTAGTGTGCAAAACTAATCTGGGTGAAAAGTTAACAAGATGTAAAAAACTGAACTCAGGAACGTCACTGCCTGCGCAAGTGCACAATGTCCGTTAGGGCCTCCAAGTAGTGATGCGCGCCATCCCGAAGCTTCCAACCCACGAAGATGTCATGCGCCAGACTGACCAAATCTCTCTGTCAATTTTATCCAGCCCTAATGCCACGTCATTCACTGGCCATCTCATAGTTTCGCCCAACGTGGTGCAGCGACGGCGTATAATCCACGCGGGCATACGGAGGACATGACATAGATGATGAGTTAGGTTAACTAACTGGGCACGTTGGTCGGTTTGGGACAAATCTGTGCGGTTTGACCAGATGACGCTAGGTTCAATGTCTTCTCAAAAGGAACCACAGTAGCTAGGAGTTCGACTAGAAAACCTTGCAGTTATTAAGGTGATAATAAGAGCAGCTCACTTGTGTTTGAATGAGGAGCCAAGTGACCTATATTGTCAAAATCCGTCGGTCCAAGAAAGTAAATATGGAGGAACCGGGGGTTTAGTTCAGTTGATCAAATATGATCCGAGCACCGAGGTGCAGTGAGATTACGCGTCTCAGTCCAAGACACACGGCGGGTGCTCCAAAAACCTAAAATCAACTTCTAACCGCTGTGTCAAGCACTGCTCCCGGAGCTCAATGACCTAGTGATTATGGCGATAGCCGCCAAGCACAATGCGCCGAGTTCCACTCCCAGCTGGGTTATCTCTACCTGATGAGTCCAAAGTAGGGCGAAACCGTTGGTCGTGGAGAGAGAGCCACATCGAAACCATCCAATGCGGTGGATCCAGTTTCCATGACTAATCGCGAGAATCACGATAAATAACAACGTCAGTCTACATGGGTTAAATGCAAAAAGAAGGAAAAGAATATGGAAGAGGCAAGTGCATTAAATTGATCGAAATGGAACGGAAATTAACCACCAGATGCAAGAAACCGAATGCAGGAACGCCACTGACTGCGTCATGTCTGATACGGTCTCCAACCATTGATGTGGACCATCCCGAGGACCACATCCACGAAGACGGCATGCACCAGCCTGACCAAGTATCTCAGTCAATTTCTTCATGCCTCTATGTCACGTCATGGACTGCCCACCTCGTGGTTTCGCCCAATTTGGTTCAGTAGGCGAAGTAAAGGAAGGCAGTAAGTAGAATCTACCAAAGTAAAAATGTGGTGTATATCATGGCAGAAAGTTGCAGCGATGGACAGTTGGTTACATTAAAACGGTCTTGAGGAGACAGTCATGGTTGCACGTGGGCTGGGATGCAGACATGGCGCCCAGGCAAAGATAGAGAAGGACTAGAGTCCTAAAGGAAAACGTTCGGCTCAAAATCCTGTCCGCAAGGTAGCGGAGAAATGGCAATGATTTGGCTTTACAGAAATGGACGCCATCCCATTTCAAACCCGAAAGTGGAGGATCAGGAGACTGAATTCGACCGACCTCAGACCCCTGACCAATCTAGTAAGAGTAGTTCTAGAGGCACCCGGAACCCTACCCAGTACAGCTCAAATAAGCGCGCAAATCGTCGCGCCAGGTTAAGATTCAGCTTCGTTGCGTCTGACTAGAATGGCTTGATCCGAAAGAATACCGCCCCTCTGAACAAGCGAAGTTAATGAGTTCGATGTAACGTTTACATATATATAAAAAATTAAAGAAAATATACGCTGCGAAACATTGCAAAACTTACGTGAATCGAATAGTGTGGTCAAAACCATACCAAAACTGAGCAAACTGAGAGCATATAACATAAGAAGTAGAAAGATCAAGAATGGATTGGATAGTGGTAAAACTGGTCCGCCTCCAAAAAATGAGATGCAGAGTACTCCTGTGAGGGCCGCACTCATTAAAGCAAACAGTGTGAGATAAGCCATGATCCATGTAAACCAGTGAACGGCACTACTCATGCCCAACATCTTAAGCGTTTCCTAAAAAGTGAATTGTATGATAAGAAAAGCCAAGTGAACTCACTTTCATACGCTGCTGCTTTTCTAACAATACACATCGAATCGCGTGTAAGACAGGAAACAGGTACCCCAAAACGATCACAAAAGACAAATGTCTCTGAATAATGAGGATGAAAGGATCATCCAAATAAGGCGGATAGGGCATCCGCTTCAATGAAAAGTCAAAGTTTACCATGGACAGATTTTCGCCACAAAGCACGTTTGTCAAAGCCCGGTCAAGGGCCGACTGAATGGCAAGAAAGCTAGAATGACAGTAAGCAGGAGGGGAGGCACATTTGTCAAGAGTACGCGGTGTTCCCACGGCGAACTTAGGATACAAAGAGCGAGTAGACCAGTCCACGGCATTTGGCAAACGAAGGGAGTAAGTAACACCATTGGTGGGGGAAAGGCGATCGAAAATAACCGCTCCGATGATAGATTTGGGGCGTCTAGAATTCACATTCAAGTAGTTAAGAAGGGAGGATGCATCGGGGAAGCCGGTTGTGAATACGGCTACCTCTGACCGCATTACACGCATAACTTCATTGAAGAAAGATACATTGGGAGCGTAGAGCAGAGTGCGCGGGGCGAAAGGAAATAATTCAGCTGATGGAATATTGAGTCTAAAGGCGTCCCAATAGGTCGGGTGTGAAATTTCCGACCTGGTGTATTTCGAACGCAGATAAACCAAGGTGAATGCCAGTAGCAATGGAAGCAGGATGATGACAAGGGTCGGGATCCATCTTCGGTAAAACAGTACATAGTTTTTACCAAGAATGACAAGGAACCGTCGCATTATGAAAATGCCTTCACAGCTACTGAGACGACGACGAAGTTCATACAAAAGTATGGGTATGTAATCAGCTGCAATGAAGGAACAAAAGAGTGAAGGCAATCGGACAACGGCACACGATTTGTGACGAACGAGAAAAACTAGGGCGATGAGCGCAACCATGAAACGAACGGTTACATATAGTTGCAGTCCAAATCTTAAAGATTTTGACAAGACCGTTATGACTGCGCTTCACAGTTACGCGATAATGTAATGGGCATAGTCAGGCGTTAAAGATATAGACCTACTCAAATCCGTCAGTTCGTCCTCACCAGTAGTCAAACCCGGTAGGCTCTTTAGTCTCACTAGTTTTGCATCGTAGATGACTTAAACATACGGAATCTACAGTGCACATTGGTGCGTAAACCGTTCATATCGAGATCTGATTATGGCGCTCCATATAAACTTCGCTCTTTGAAATTATGTAAATTCCTTGGATTACACGAAGTAACCAGCCTTCAGACTGGGTACTAACTGGAGTGCCGATTATCCAAGTGTAGCCGAAATAAACGTGTTGACTGTTGGTGAACGTGTCAGACCGAGTGTCTGCCGTTCCGCCTTCACGACGGTTAAGTAAACGAATGGCGAATAGGTGAAGGAGAAGCAAAGCCACTTTCGAATCAGAGTTGAAATGACCACATCTAGCTGATCCGCCAAACGTGTGAGTACTGTCGAAATATGTTTTAGTAGATTTACGAGCTGTGTTGAAATAGGGACATAAATGGTATATAAAAATACTTAGCCAAAGTGGACCTTACTGGAAACCAAACCAGTTATGGCCAAACCAAGAACGATGTGTGTGCACGACGATGATAAGTTCGCCTGTGGTACCAGCAGCGGTGTCGAACAAGGTTTTCTAGTCTATTGGCTCACACTTAACTACTCCGTGGATGAATACCTGGAGGGCTATGGTAAAAGATGGGTCTAGTGGCATCCAGTATCCTCTAGGTGACAAAATCCATGACTTAGAGAATGCAGCTATCGATACAATCTACGATTCCAGGATTTACAACCTGTTCCTGCGAGAGTGGTTGAGAGTTGCCCTTACTCTCATCCTCTCAGGCGATCCACTGGATGCGGCAAACATTCGTTCACTTTGGGAGTCAACATAGTATTTGTCAGTGTAACACCCACATCCGCAAATAGCTAGAAATATTCGCCATAAGTGGATGAAACCTATTCGAGAATTTCTGCAGTCCATGCGGTAGTTTCTGAACTCCATAACTGTTGGTGTCTCTATAACGTAATCGTAATATAGCGCAGCAACTTGGGCTGTTCGTGTAAGTGATGTTTGGAGACATTCTAAATCAACAGGTAAATATACACAGGAGCAAACAGATCTCTTTTCCGCAAAGCATATCAGACAATTACATTTACAAGCCTGATTGAGATAACAATGAGTTGACGACAGCGGAAATGTGCGAGAGCTTAAAGCCCGTCGTGAAGCAGGAGAAAAGGGTCTCCGCTTGATGGGTTTTCGGGTGGTGAGTCGGTGGTGAAAGGAAACACTACACCAGCATCGTGTAAACCGATACCAGTAGTACATGAAGCTAAACCCATCACTTCAACAGGAAGAAAGCAAAAAACAGAGACCGAAAGCGTTGTCCTCGCAACTTCTGATGAACTCAATTCACAACAGAGTCGAGCAACTCGAAAAGCTGACAAAGTACACTCCACGTAGTTCGTAGACCGCTGAGAGTAGCAAGCCACACTCCCGGGACCGTTGCCTCATTAGCATGAATGTGCCTGAGGCAACCAAAAACACCCCAGCTGAGAGAATTTTGGATGGCCAAGTGTTACTTAAACGAATGGTTTCCTTACTGTTTGATGGGGGTGGGCAAGGTATAAACATTGTCTCTGCCTTGCATCTCGGTAGAAAGCCAAAAGAACCCTCCAAGGTCCGCCCGCTCAAGATTGGGGGTCAAAATGAACATGAAAGTTGACGTTTAAAATGTTTCCGAATACTGGTAGCTCGGGTTGATGATTCAATTGTTCATTTGTTCTCCGAGCTTGGCGGTTTTGTTGCAAACGTTTCACCACCATGCGAGGTGGCATCCACAGTGCAGCGAGATGCGGCGTGCAATCCTGTAGTAAGATTGCACACGCCGCAACTTTATTAAACCTCTTTAGCTGTACGATCCAGAGCAACTCCCAAGGTGCTCTCCTCCTACCTGAAGAAAAGTACCAAAGCCGGTAGTGGTATTCCCGCCCTGTACTCTACTGACTAAGAGGCCTTACTTTACGAAGACGCTACGAAACCCAGCCTCCCAGCCAGGCGGTATTCGTCTGTCTACTCGATCAAGGCACCGTTCTCCAATGATGTTGTTCCCACGTTGCCCTCTTTTCTGGGGCACGTAGATACCATTGTCGATGATATCGAGAAGCTCCTTCTTCAGCTTGACCCGAATCCTTCTCCTGGTCCTGATGGGTTTCATCCCTTGTTCCTCAACTATGGCTGGTCACACTGCTGCACCTGTCTGCGGAATCTTTCGTCGCTCACTTGAAGCTGGACGCCTCCCGGTTGCCTGGACAGTGGGAATGGTCTAACCGCTATACAAAGGAGATCGCCAAGATCCCGCGAGTTATCCACCCATCTGCTTAACATCAGTAATATGCAAAGTGATGGAGCGAATACTTAAGCGAGCTCTCCAGCTTCACCTGGACGCTCTGAACGTTATCGCTGGCGCTCAGCATAGGTTTTAAAAAGCGCGCTCGTGTATCTGAACCTTGCTCGTTGTCAGAGAAAATTGGGCGAGCTCACTGGACGCTGGCAAACGCCTCGATGCTGTTCCTGTTGACTTCAGCAAAGCGTTTGACAAGGTCTCGCACAAACGGCTCCATTGTAAACGACAAGAAATTGGGGTATCTGGGAACCTTCCCACTTGGGTCGCCGAATTCCTCGATGGTCATACAATGTAGGTGATGGTGAATGAGGTGTGCTCCATCCTAGTGCTTATGGCCCGTGGTGTCTCACAAGGGTGAGTCCTTGGGCCGGAACTCTTCAAAATCTTCATCAACGACTTACCCGCTAAGCTTCAGATGGGTTGTTTAATCTATGAGGATGAATTGAAGCTAAGGATGGAGGCGTCCAGTCCAAATGATGCCTATATATACATATATATATGAGATGTAAAAGCGAATCATTATTCATATATATATATATATTGTAGTTTCCACTGACTGTACTAATAGCCCGCCAGAAACTGTTGTGCCGCTTCCAACCGGTTCACCCCGCAACAAAATGAGGACGCCAAGATCTGCCTGAATAAGGGACTCGTATCGTACCAGAGAATAGCGCAATAAATAGGTTAAAGGCAGCTACCAACACATAGATATTGGAGATGCTAATAATGCTAACTAACACAACTCACACGGTTCAAGTTCCGAGTTCAACTTGCCGCTGACCCTACAATGATTTGCGTTTTCATCTCTGCTTGCGTTCGATCTTTAATTGTAAATTGATCCAATGTTGGGCCACAGTTCTCGGCTGGTACGCTGACCGTAAACTGGCTCTCTGTAACTCCTCCCCCTTGTTGAAATAGCTTGACCGGTGGTTGTATAGGTCTTCCTTCAGGATCGGTCTGTAAGGGTTGCACGCATCTTCTTACAGGATTTGGCCTTAGTCGGTGTTTACTTTCACGGTTCCACGTGCTGCGTATCCTGTCCAGTCGGGGTGCTCAGGTGAAAAGTGCATAACAATTCATTGAAATCAAATCCTTTGTGGTCGCGTGTCTCTGAGATTCATGCAAACCGCAGGTCGCAGTTGGTTGGCATGGCGAACCCACAGTTGCCTACCAACGCGAACATCGTACATTACTTTGCCACCTCGTCCCACGACTTGATCTTGTATCCAGCTTATTCGACGCCCTCGATGAGAAGCAGCAAACACTGCGTTTCCAACTCTGAAATTGCTGCGCCGTGCTCCGTACCATCTGTTGTACTGGGCTTCCATATCCGAATACGCAGGATGTATCGATGGTCATTTTGGAGCCATCAGACTTAGCGTAGTTCTTAGTGGTCGACCCATGAGGACTTCAGCGGGTGTATTCCCATCTGGTGCATTGGGATTCGGAGTTACTCGATAATGCAACAAGAATCTTTCCAATGTTTCATCCAGCGTTCCCTCGCGTTTCGATTTTAACAAAGCACGTTTTAGGGTGTCGACATACCTTTTTGCTTGCCCATTTGATTGCGGATGATACGGTGCAGTCCTCATGTGTTGGATTCCACTGTGTGCGCAAAAGTCAGCGAACTGATAGGATGTGAACTTTGATCCCTTGTCCGATACGATTGTTTCCGGATGAGATGGTACGGTTGTATGATGCACCATGACGTTCGTTTCAGAACACACATTATCCAGTGGTAGATTGAGCAAATTCAATGTATCAATCTGATCAATGACAAGAAGATTAATGTCGACACAAGAAACTAAGTAGATGGTTCCACGGAGGCTCAGATCTTTGAATTTAATATCACATGTGAACACACCATCTAACATCAGTGGTTCACCGGATGCATTTTGGGCAGTCATATTGGTGCGTCTCAGTGGAGGTTTGCCAAGTCTCGTACATGATGATGGAGAAATGATGGTAATGTCCGATGCCGTAGCTAGTTGCAAGGATAAAGGAAAATCGTTTATTTTGACTATGAGGTACTTTCGTTTGCCCACAAATTCTGTGCGACGGGTCGCGAAAACTACTTATGCCTTTTCTCCTCGAAACGACGTCTTTTTGGAGTTCGTGTACAAGTTTGGGGTAGAGACAGGCTTGGAATCGTACGTTTTGCGACAGTGTGATTGCCTGTGACCCAGACGTCTGCACTTCTGACAGAGATGCATCTTGTAAGTAGAGAATCGCAAAAAATGCCATCCACCACAGTTCCTGAATGAGGTCGAGGGTTTCTGGTTGGGTGCTCTATGGCTCACATTTTTACCTCGAACAGCCGTGCGTTAAACCTGTGGTTCACTCCTGGGGTCAGCATTTTCAATAATTTTAGTATCATGCTTTAAGTTAATCAGTCTCTGGCATTCAGCAGCAA